GGCAGGCCCCCCACCCTCCACTCCCTGGCTCAACCCTGAGTTTTCCCATGCAGATCTGGGCCCCAAGGCCAGCCTTGGCCCGGTTGGTGATGGGATCTGCGCCATTCATATCAAGCCAATCTTGGGGCCTGGGCCTAGAGGCCGGAGGTTAAAGGCTCAGATGAGGTCACTTCTTTGATGTGGTAGAGGGTAGAGGGTAATGGGTATTTAATGAGTTAATCCAAAGTGCTGTAATCCCAGTACTTTGGGAGGCTGAGGCGGGCGGATCACTTGAGGTCAGGAGTTGAGACCAGCCTGGTCAACATGTCGAAACCCCGTCTGTACTAAAAATAGAAAAATTAGCGGGGCGTGGTGGCACGCGCCTGTAGTCCCAGGTACTTGGGAGTCTGAGGCAGAGAATCACTTGAACCTGGGAGGTGGAGGTTGCAGCTGAGCTGAGATAGCACCGTTGCACTCCAGCCTGGACAACAGAGTGAGACTGTCTCAAAAAACAAACAAACAAACCAAAAAAACCACTACCACCAACAAAAACACAATAGATGGGGAAACCAAGGCTGGGGCAGGAAGGATTGGGTTAGGGTATTAATCTAAGGTGAGACGTGGTCCTGGGTCTACTCAGATGGGGAGGTTGGCGGGGTGGGGAGCTTGAAAGGGTCTTGAAGGCAGAGCGTGGGTGACTGACTCCTCAGGTAGGCCCGGCCTGCTCTCTGCTGTAGACCCTGGACAGCGTAGCCCACTCTGGTGGCTGGGACCTTCTTCCTATCTGGCGCCTGAGGATTCTGGGAATGCCTGCTGGGTAAGGGGGCTGTTGGGACAGTGGCTCAAGGCAAGGCTCCATGCAGCTCACAGCGCAGCTCACAGTGAGCTGAGGTTCCACTGTCGTTCTCACTTTGCAGGGCGTGGAGGTACCGGGGTCTCCACGGGAGCACAGAGCAGGAGACTGCCTTTTCGAGGGGTAGGGAAAGGGGGGAAAAGCAAACAAGGGCTGGAGCTGCTTTCCTAGGGAAATGCCATTTGCATAGACACCCAAGGCAGCCGGAAGTTCTGGACACAGTTCTTTTAATGCCACCTTACACGCACAGTGCTGGCAGTCTATACAATGTAAAACATCCCATCTGTGAAATTTTATTTTTTCTTCTTGAGTCAGAATCTAGTTCTGCCTCCCAGATTCAAGTTGGGATTCCAGGCATGCGCCACCACACCTGGCTCATTTTGTATTTTTATTAGAGGCGGGGTTTTACCATGTTGGCCAGGCTGGTCTCAAACTCCTGACCTCAGGTGACCCACCCACCTCAGCCTCTCAAAGTGCTGGGATTACAGGCGTGAGCCACCGCACCCAGCCCATCCATCTCCCTTGAATACTGAAAGCAAGTTGTGATCACATACTTGTGCCTAGGCCTGTGGGAGGGCGGCCCTGTGGGTCCTGCCTGCTGTCAGTTCTCCCTCGCGTTGGGGCAGGGAGACTTGGAGCTCTGTCCCTTCTTGGCTCAGTCATGAACTTCTCTAAGCCTCAGTGTCCTGTGTGAACAAACAATTCAGTGAGATAGTGGGAGGGCACAGTGTTCTATCAGCAGGCATGGGGAATTGAAAATTAAGAACACCCAGGGTATTATGGTAAGAAAATAATGAGTTGAAGCATAAAGGTAATGGTTAGTGCCAGCTTCCTCCCAGCGTGCCAGGCCCTGTTCAAAGTACATGAAGGAGTTCCTTATTTCGTCTTCCCAATAGCCCAGGGCAGGGCTCTCAGACCATGAAACCCATTTCACAGATGAAGAAACTGACACACTGGTGCTAACTGCCAGAGCTGGGCTTTGAACTAGGCCATTAGATTCCCATGCCACAGTCATCGTCATTATCATCGTCTAGATCGAAGACTGTTTGGTACACTGTGGGGTAAATGTGGGGTACATGATAGTGAATCGGGTCGCAGAACCCTTCTCTGCCATCAGGATGAAACATTTATTGACGTGGGAATTTGCAGTGATCACAGTTAGGAAGGCCTTTGGTGGCAAAGAACAAGAAACTCAAATGAATGGTGATGAGGACACATTTGGGTTCATTTTTCTTACAAACAGTTGGAGGAGGCAGCTCAGCAACACCCTGAGGCCTGGGTGCTCTGCCTCCCCACTCTGCTCTTGCTGGCCAGCCGCTGCAACTCCATCTTTGAAGGGGCTGCCCTGGCTGTGTCAGCTCCCTGGCATCCAACTCCTGCCTCCAGCCTCTGAGCCCTCATTGACCAGAACTGGGTTACACGGTTGCCACCAGCTGCAAGGGATGCTGGGAAGCTGAGGGAGAGGAGGGCCGCGGTTGGCTTAGAGGAATGACGATGCAGGACCACCCCGAAGAATACTGGGGTTCTATCAGCAAGGAGCCAGGTGGAATGGATATTGGAGAGGTAAATAGCGTTTGCCAGTAAAGAAGACTGTAAAACACTGTGTATGGGGTGATCCCATTTGTGAAGAAGGATGTGTGATGCGCACATGTGTTTAGGAAAAACACTAGAAGAATTAGCGATGGTCTCACTGGGAATGGGGATTGTGATACGTTTTTCTCAGGCTGCTTCTCTGCCTGTCTTCTCAAGAGAAATAGCAGACACCAAAGAACAGGTGTGGCCTTCTGTTAAGTGGTGCAGAGGAATTGCCTTGCCTGTGCAGCCTCGCCTCTGTCCCCTGTGCTGACAGCAGGTGCCTGGGTTTTCTTGAGGTCTGGTGTCGGAGAACTTCTAATACTTATTTATACTCTGATGTTGTTTCACAAAGAAGAAAAAGGCTGGGCACGGTTGGTTCACGTCTGTAATCCCAGCACTTTGGGAGGCTGAGGTGGGTTGCATCACTTTGAGGTCAGGGGTTCAAGACCAGCCTGGCCAACATGGTGAAACCGCCGTCTTTACTAAAAACACAAAATAATTAGCCAGGCGTAGTGGTGCATGCCTATAGTCCCAGCTACTCAGGAGGCTGAGGCAGGAGAATCGCTTGAACCCAGGAGGCAGAGGTTGCAGTGAGCCAAGATTGTGTCACTGCGCTCCAGCCTGGGGGACAGAGCAAGGCTCAGTATCCAAAAACAAAGAAAGAAAGAAAGGGCCCTTATGAATCATCTTCAAGTCCCTCCCTTCCAAGAACAGAGATGCTGGGCGATTTGCCCAGAGGCACACAGCATGTAGCGGGATTCATGCCTGCAGGAGCTGGGGCTGGGGGATATTGACAGCTTTAGCGGATCAAAAGAGCGGGTGAGTAGGGCTATGCAATCTGGCAGTTACCCTGTGAGAGAGCCCCCAGACCGCTCAGTTCTGAGGGGTCCAGCCATATGCTGTCTTTTTGCCCCAAAGGAGACATGTCTGGAGTAAGACCCATCTCCAGAGACACCTTGATGGAGACCCTCCTGTATGAGCAGCTCCTGGAACCCCTAACCATGGAGGTTCTTGGTGTGACTGACCCTGAAGAGGACCTGGACCCTATGGAGGACTTCGATCCTTTGGAGTGTATGGAGGACAGGTAGGTCCCCATGGCCTGCCCCACCCCATGCCTGATAGTGACTTCAGGGGTGGGCCGGATGAGCAGAGCTTCTGTGACTGGGGGAGCACTGCAGACGCCTCCCAGGCCGGGCCCCTGAGAGGAAGATTCCCCAGATGTGGGCATGGAGGCTTCTGCCCCGGGATTGGCTTCGCTTTGCTGTCCCCTCTCCCCTGACACCAGCTCACAGACCCCTGGACAGCCACCATGTTCACAGTCCCAAGATGGACCTGGGGCCACTGGCTGTCAAAATGGCACAGTGTTTGGGCCTCAGGGAGCTAGACAGGCCAGGCCCTTAGCGACCTGCTGAGTATATCAAGGCCTCTTGAAGGAGGTGGCTCTGTTGCCAGAAAGGGGACCCGATCCAGATCCCAAAAGAGGGTTCTTAGATCTCAAGCAAGAAAGAATTTGGGCCACACGCAGTGGCTCGCACCTGTAATCCCAGCACTTTGGGAGGCTGAGGCAGGTGAATCACTTGAGGTCAGGAGTTCTAGACCAGCCTGGTCAACATGGCAAAACCCCATCTCTACTAAAAATACAAAAAGTAGCTGGGGCTGGGCGCGGTGGCTCACACCTATAATCCCAGCAGTTTGGGAGGCCGAGT